TAGAATAGGCAGAAGAGTTATGCGAACACCTGAAAAAGAGATTTAGAATTTGATAAGAGCGATCGAGTGTTCCTTAAGGTCACCCCCTTTAACGGTATCAACAGGTTTGGAAAGAGAGAAAAGTTAAAGCCCCGGTTCATCGGACAGTTTGAGATCTTGGACAGGGTTAGTACATATGTCTATAGACTAGCACTGCCTCTAGAGTTATCCAGAATCCATAATATATTTCATATATCTATGCTACGCAAGTACAACCCAGATCCCTCGCATATCTTGTCTCATGAGCTACTTCCACTCAAGGAGGATCTATCTTATAAAGAGGTACCAGTAGGTATTTTGGACCGGAAGAGTATAGTGCTTTGCAATAGAGAAATTTCCTTTTTCAATATCTTATGGCAGAATCACTCAAAGGACGAGGCTATTTGGGAGCTAGAATCAGACTTCAAAACCCAGTACCCCCAACTGTTTGACTAGTGAGAGAGCGATAAATTTGAGAGACCAAATTTTTTCTTAAGAGGAAAAGAGTTGTAATACCTGGGTCTGAGAATTTGGTCCGGGATAATTTAATATTAACAAAATAATAAATTAAAACAATTTAATTTTTAATTATTTTTGTTAATTTTTGAAGAAATATGGATTTTGGATGAAATTGAAATTAATTTTAGAAAACATGGTGAAACTGTGAAAAAAGGGATTGTATTTGAAAAAAAAAATTAAAAATATGGATCAAATCGCAAAAAAGAGAAATGCAGGCCATATGGGACGACCGCATCAGTAGCAACGGCGAGTTAGAACGCACTGCGTGACGAACACGCTGGCACAGGTTCCACGTGGGAGCCATGCGGGCGATCTGCGTACCTGGGCAATCCAACGGCCCACATCCATTCCCGCTCGCACGAACTGTGAGATCCCAATCCTGCCCAAATTTAAACGGACGGCTCTGATCAGCTGTGTGAAGATCCAATGGTGGGGCGATGAACGGGCGAGATTCACTCCAGAGGATCGTGATGGACGACTCAGATTTACACATGGATTTGCCTAAACGGGTCTCAAATCAGACGACTCTCCTTACTCTACGTCGACATAAATGGACGGTCAAGATCAGGGCCAAATCCTAGCTGACACCTCAAACTAAAGAAGAAGAAGAAGGGCGGCTGCAGAAAAGCTCAGTTGCCGGAGGGACACCGTCGATGCCGCATCGGAGCCATCACCAACACCGAAAAGATAAAATTTTTCCTCTTTCTGCTCGAAATTGGATTTGGAACCTCCCCACACCTATATCAGAGTCAAAAGGCCAAAGGGTGAGCCAGAAAAATGCAAGCAGAACTCGGCCGAGCTGTCGCAGCCGCAACCCGAAAAATTCTCTCCCATGAACCCCTTCCTGTAATGCCCGGGCCCTGTCATGCAACCCAGTCCGTCTGTATCAAAAAAAAAGGAAGAAACCCGAAGAGAGAGAGGGAGGCCATCGGCAGAAGGAAAGATGGCATAGAGGAAGAGAAGGAGAGAGGGAAACAGAACCACGAAGCAAGGCCAGACATAAGAAGAAATCGGAGGGTGATTTCCGTGAAGGCTAGGCTGAAAGATGGTCAAATCCTCCGACGGAAGGTAAGATCAATTTGATCTTAAGATTCAAAAATTCGAAATGGTGTCAATAAATTTCCTAGATCGTAGAATGATAAACTGAATTGGATTTCTTATGCATATGATTTATATAGTGTTGAATCACTAGTGTGATTACTTGAATATCGAATATGGGAGTTAAGGGAGAGGGAATGACAACTTGGTAGAAAATACGGAAATGAGACAGGGAGACGTTCTACTGATCTCTTAGAAAAACAAATGGGACAAATGTCGGTAGTCGGGGCTTTCCAAAACAGAAAGGTACTTGTGGAACGAAATGAGCACGAAGGATATATAAAAATGATTGGGAAATTGGGTTGATCGGCAGGTGATTTACAAGAAATGAACTAGGAAGAATTTGACTGCTGTTAAAGGAAAGGAAAGTTGGGAGATAAATCATACAGATGAGAAAAAGGGGGACCATATGAGAGGTTAAATCAGTAGAGAATCAGAAGGCAGATTGAGAGAAATGGCAGTAAAGGGAGAAGGTTAACAGAAAATAACGTGGAACGTCAAACGAAATCTAGGGGTAAAAAGGTTAGACCATAACTTGTAGATAACTGTAGGGGAATAGTGTGCGGAGGACTGAAGAAGA